AATTGGTCGCCTATCCCCCTCCCATCTCCCCCGATCGCCTCCCCACTTCGGCGCATCCATGCAGAGGCAACCTTAACGAAGACCTTCAGTAGGACTTTGAGACCTGGATGTCCTTTTTCTTTGTGGTTTTCTATACCTTATACTACTCATTGGCGCAATATTCCTAAAATTTTGCCATTGGTTTCCAGCGATTTCCCGAGCGAACTCAAAAAAAAACGGAACAAAAGCAGGATGCTCAAACAAGCTACTAGTGGTTAAAGTCGTTGTGAACTCAGAAATACCTTTCCCAAACCCAGAACTCTATTTCCCGATGGCCATAACCCATATCATGTTTCCCATTCGGGGAAATATTCTGATCTATATGTTTTCGTAATTGGAAGTCTGATTGTGCGATTTTTGACAGATTCATATTCCGTGGGTGATGATGACCCTGCTCGAATGATCTCCAAGAAAATTATTGTTAGAAAACGGGACAGACTGCAAGCAAGTCGGCCAGGAGCCTGAGCATCCCGAGTCTATACCTTCAATACTACTCTGTCTATAAACCGAATAGGATCGACATTAAACCAACAAAAATCCAATCGGCTCTGGCATTGCTTAGCCTCCTTGGATGTGTTACACTCACCTTCTTTCGTGAACTATCGTGGCTTAAGAATTTGCCCTGTGTCGATACAGAAGGGCCACAATAGTATGCAGACCACTTGTGGTGACCGCTGAGGTTCTGAAGGATGAGCTGTGCGCAGGAGAACTAGCTGGAAATAGTCGTCTCAGCCGTTGTGGGAGGGTCGTGATGCCTTCTACACGCCCTTGCAATCAGGTCTGCTCGGAATCGGCGAGCTGTTCCCCGAAAGAGATCAGTTTCGGAGAGTTCCAATGAAAGTTCCTGCATGCCGTTACGGACCATAATACCATTTATTTATGCATTTATTCACTTATTTATGAACCTAGAGCCCAAAAGTTTTTGCTTAGTCTGCTCGGAATCGGCGAGCTGTTCCCCGAAAGAGATCAGTTTCGGAGAGGTCCAATGAAAGTTCCTACATGCCGTTACGGCCCATAATGCCATTTATTTATGCATTTATTCACTTATTTATGAACCTAGAGCCCAAAAGTTTTTGCTTACACCACATTATGTAAGTCAACCTATAGATTATTGATTACCATATTGATCGCCTTTTCGGCCTGCAGGATTTACTCCTGTAGGCCGACAAAGCGATCAATATGGTAATCAATAGTCTCTCGGTACTGTCGGTTCGATTGACTACTCCAAAAATGTGATCCGTAGACCGGCTTCTTATCTGTTGGCTTGGCTTCGAAATATCGATGGCAACTCCAGATTGGAACTCACAAGTCGGAATAGGAAACTCTTTTGAATGTTTGGACGAAGGAGTTGCGAACAATGAAAACAATGTTGTCAAGGTTTGGCTACTTTACCCTCTCCATTCCTCAATAATTCTTCAGGAGTCCACTGGATGTATTACATTTATTGAGGTATTAGGTTCAAAATGCACTCGAATTCGAGCGGTATCCCCTATGTCTGAAAGGTCAAAGCTCAGAGTGCAGGCAAGCCGATCTCAGCCTATCTATTCCTGCGATTCAATTATTTACCAATTGCGCCATTCGATTCTCTTCAAACCGATTTCTGATTGTGGATTCACTTGGCCTCATCACGCTTTGGTATCGATAATTCTATAAAGATACAGACTCAACAGTCGGTATATACCTCTTCACTTCCACAGTCGCCATGGCGTAGCTAGCAGCAATGCTGAGCGGGTGGTTCTTCGAAGTTGCATTGAGCACAGGAGCGTTACCGCTGATAGACGGCGGCCCGACGGGGATATACTCGAAAGAAATTAGGAGTAAGAATACCGATCACTCACGTGGGTTGAGATGGACAAGCGCCGGCACTGGAACCTTTGTTCACAGCTCCGTGACAATTGGCTTTCGCCATAATCTATCAAGGATTTCGGTGATTTACGGGAAGTGGCGAAGATAGCTAGCTTCGTCCCATCCCTTCGCTGAAGCAGAAACTCGTGCGTGCCATAACACTAGCAACAATTTTGTTCAAGCGGATTTCATGGAACGGTCTTTTCTTTTTAATGTGAGGTCAAAAGGATGTGAGTGTTCTTCAGTGTGAGAACTAGTTTAGTGTGGTAGGTAATCTGCAGATATTAGTCAGCCCGAATTTTGCTGAGCTCACGTATCATGAGCAGATCAGTTTCGGCTTGACTGAAGGGGTACCTCTCATTGTCGTCGGACAAATTGATGATGGGCTTCACCGCACCAGAGGTCTCATTGGAGACTTACAATACATCTCTTTTTCTTTTACTTTTAGTTTTTTTTCCTGATGAGGACACAGTAAACTGGATTTTTTTGGAATTCCACCACCTTTAAAATATCGGTAGCTCACCTGTGCTTACCTGGGCATGTTATCTCGTAAAATTGTCTGATTGGAGCATGATCCATTATCCGATCACAGCGTGAACTGTCAGTTATGAACAACTGTGAAAAAGTGTTCAAATCCAAAATTATCACCGTTCAGGCCCAAACCTAAGCGGCCACCCTGGCTTCGGCATTAACTGGACCATAGAGCTGAGAATCGGGTGTAAATCCATTCATATATGAACAGAATTGGAGATGCACTCTCTATAGGCATTGTGGCTTTTCAAATGATTCGTAAATCGATGATTAATGTAAAAATCTTATCAATAGAGTCTTTTTCTCACACCCATGGGTAAGCCTAACCGTCACGTATTCGAACGATGGCATATCGCCATTTGCACTATGGTATTTGGCTTACAAGGGATGCCCATCATCCCATGGCGTGCCAGAAATCAAAGCGCAAAATTCGATATGCCAGCAGGGCATTCCAGGGTGAATCAAATTCCGGAGTTCAAAGTTCAAGGTTCATGCGGACACCAGCGTTCGGTGAATTGGGTTTCCATTGATCGTCTTTTGCCAGTCTGAAGATCTTTTTTCTTTTCTTACTTCTTCATCTTTACTCATCAGCCTTTCAAGATTTGGCAAATCGCTGGAATTTCTTTTATAACTACTCTCTCCCCTTTTTTTCACTCCGTCAAGCAGCTATTAGTTGGTTCAAAAAAGGATGAAGCGATCACTCCCGACACTGCCCTTTTTGCTTGATGGATAGGGGGGCGAAAATGTAGTTGGAGGGTGCCAGGCCCTTTTGTGCTCTGCGTCTTTTCAATTCTTGCACCATCTAATCATCGCACCCATCCCGGAGCTCCTCCCCACGTAAATTAGGGAAGGAGCTCCGGGGTGGTAGAACCAATTGGATGTTCAATTCTTACACCATCCCAGCTTGTTGCACGAGATAATCATCTCTCCCATCCCGAAGCTCCTCCCCTAACTTTTAGAAGGGGAGGAATCCATCTGTGCGATCTGTATGCACCCTGCTGCCCGTGTCAGGGACGCAGGGCACAAAAGGGAGCTGGCACCCCCTAACTACATTTTCACCCCGGTAATCTATCACCAGTATTGAGTGAAACTCCATAAGTCTAGAGAAAACCTTACTTTCAAAATGTTGTCGTTCGAAGTTTTGATCTCACAATCAGACGCATTTTGATATTTCACTAAGAATCGATGGGGTTGGTGACCATTGATTGGTGGTTGGGCCCAGGCCATTGTCCAAACTTAACTTCGTCAATGTATGTACCTTTCGTTGCCTCTATTCGGAGCAAGTCCTCTTGATTTAAGCATATGGGGTCATTCCTTCAAGCTATTTCATGTTTCCTATCACTTTTCTTCTCAGATTGGGAAATGCGCAATCCCCACACGCTCTGTGTGCTATCTGCTTCCAGCGTATTCTTAAAAAAAGTGTAAAATGTAAATAAAAGGTTGAGCAACCCGATGCTGTTTGAAGCAAAATGCAGGGTGCCCTAGTGTACGTCGGTAGGAGTCCTGGGTTAGGGACCAGAATAATAATAACAGAAAAATAAGGGACAAGGCGTATCATAGAAGTACCAAGTGGAGACTCCCAAGGTGGTGAATCCAGAAAATCCACATGACCGTGACTGTTGGTTATCCGTTCGACAACTGAACGTAATTCGCCGAATTTGTGAATTTGAGAACTTTGAACTTGATTTTTTTGAGGTTTGAGAACTCTGGTGACAAGAGTTGTTTGTCAGTTAAGTCTTCAACTGCTTAAATGCTTGTATGGTTCATACCTTTCTTTATTTAGGCGTTCTTCGCTCCTCGGTCTGTAGAATGGTGGACGCGAGCCAAAAATGAGATGCGTTACGTTGTCTCCAGTGAAGAAGGCGATATCGATTGGTGGGAAGAAGACAGTGAAAGCGAATTGGCTGAGGTGCCACCGGTGAGTGGATCTTGACCACAATCCGGTGAGACCCCTGGACCAATCTGGAAGTTTCAGAAGCCTCTATCCTTTCTTTGGATCAAGGAACGTCGGGAAATGTTGCGATTTGATGCGAAGTTACCGTCACTGCTTCCATCACCGTCGATGCATCAAATTCGTAAGGGACTCTCCCGATTCCCTCCACCGAGACAATCACATAATGTGTGCAGTGGCGTCAAAAAGGTAAGGAAAACTAGTTTTTCGCATTGCTGATTACTGATTTGCTCCCAAATTTCCTGGGAATGTGGTGGGGATGAATACAGTGATGCGGGTTACCTTCAGCGGCTCAGTTTCTGATTTTACAGCTTTCCGTGCTGCTTGAGAACCAAGTGTCGACGTGGGTATCAGTGACGGCTAAAGGAGAAGACATAGCAAAATATGTGGACCTTCGTGGACCAGTACCTGGCATCGCTGGCCTACAGCCGATCTGTCCGACAATCGGTGAGTATTGTTGTTGTTGTTGTTGTTGTTGTTGTTGTTTTGCTGTGAGCTGTCACTGGATACGTTCAAGAGTATGGCTATCAAATACAGTCATGATTTCCAGATCTGAGAGAAGTATCACCGATTCTGGGGATGCATCATCTGCCAGCATTTGCATTGAGCGATCAGTTTCTGTTCTACAAACCAGAAAAGGCTCTGACTGATGTGAGTTACATCTTCATATCACTTATCGGAACCACGGAACATCCTAGGGAGTTACCGTAGCCGGTAATCTATTACCAATATCGTGTGGAATTCCACAAGTCCAGGGGAAATGCTTATTTTTCCGAATTTGTCCTTCAAAGTTTTGATCTCAAACACACTTCGAAAGTTCACATGAAATCGATGGGGTTGGTGGCTACTGACCGGTCGATGGGCCCAGGCCATTGTCCAAATCTAACTTCGTCGACGTTTGTGTCGTCGATTACCTTTGTTCGCAGCATGTTTTCGTTCCTTCTCTCTAGTTTCAGCTATTCGAAGAAAGTCAGTTGGAGCATCCTTCTCCAGCCACGCTCTACCCAGTACCGATTCTCTCCGCTTGTATCTATAGAAAAACGAGATGGTAGACATCCGCGAAAACTTCCTCCTTTTTGCAACTCGGGCTGGATAGAATTCCTTTGGATCACTTACCGTTAAGGGGGCGAGGGGATGGGAGTAGGTCGGGTTAACCTCGACATATGTACATCGTCATATGAACAATACGTTTGTATAATAGTACCCTAAGTCTCTGGGCCAAGCCTTTTATGCCTTCCTCGCGATGATATTATCTGGTCTTCATTTACAGTAGTAACTTTGAAAGTTAGTTGTGGTATTCACAAACCCAACATGTACTTAGCTTCTAACGACTTTTTTGATAGTATATTTGACTCGAACGTTTTTATGATTACCCAGGTTTTAACTCCCTTTATTATTTCCATTTGAGATTATTTCCTACCATCTATTTGATCGTTTCTTCTGTTTCCGGCTGCCTTTGCTCCAGTTTACAAACCCTTCCCAATTATTCTCGATTCATTTTCAGGCTTTGAAGTCACTGGGAAACGAACGGGATTCGATAGAACATGTAGCTGCTCGGCTACACACGGCAACCTCTGGTTCGGAAAATGGGTGACGATGTATGTTCACCGGACCTTTGATTCCTTGGCATGGTTTAGTTTTGATTTGGAGACGCCTAAAAATGGAAAGATCGTGTCGAGGGGGTAGTCATCTGCCATGGGATTGAATCCATGCACATTTCGCAGAATGTCCTCAAATTTACTGCGCAATCCTCCAGAAGGATACTTTTCGGAACAGTGGGAACCGGGGGAGAATGTAATATACTATGTATGTTTATGATATTGACGATGACCGCATTTTCCTTCTGTGCCTAGGAACACCATTCTTGGTTCTAAATGATGGTTACTCGGGGCTGGTCATCATGTGAAGAGCTTCATGAATACATTCTGATACTGGCCGTAGAACAACATTGTTACGATTAAACCGGCCTGATCACGTATTTCTCGTAAGCTGCAGGCTCATACGGCTCATACAAAGACAAAATTGTTTAGCCCCAAAAAGTGCTCGCTCCATTAGTTTGAAAGGGTTCGGTGGTGCATTTGCTGCCTGACCGCCTTTCAATTTCAGCAATTTGGTGTTGATCACTTCGTTTTTTTTACGTTAACTTTTCTGTTTATGAGTTGTAAACCTGAGTCGCTCCGAGGCGACTCTTAATCAACAGCCAAGACATCGTAATGAGCTGATTCCTCAGAAGACAGAGCGAAAGGGTTCAGGGCAGGATTTCAGAGTAAAGGAGAGGGTATGCTCAAACTCGGTCAGTTCGAATATCTTTCGATTATAACGGTGTTAGTGCGAAAACTCTTATTTCAAAGGGGGGGGGGGGGGGGGGGGGGG